GGTTAGTAACCCCTACATTGCTGAATCCCCCCTTCCTTGCTGAATCACCCCTAACTTACTTGATATCCCCTAAATTGCTTACTTCCCCATATCTTGCCGAATCCCTCTACCTTGCTGAATTCTCCCTATCTTGCTGATTTTCCCCCTACCTTGTTTAATCACCCCTACCTTGCAGAGTACTCACTACATTGTTTAATCACCTCTACCTTGCTTAAGCACCCCTACCTTGTTGAATCACCTCTACTTTGCTGAATCACCACTGCCTTGCTTAATCACCCCTACCCTTATTAATCACCCCTTCGTTGCCAAATCACCCCAAAATGGTTGAGTTCCCCCTATCTTGCTGAAGTCACCCTACGTTGCTGAATCGCCCCTAGCTTGCTTAATCACACCTACCTTGCTTAATCACCCCTACCTTGCTGAATTCCTACTACCTTGCTGAATTCCCTTTACCTTGTTTTAACACTCCTACCTTGTTTAATCACCCCTACCTTGATTTATCACCTCTAAGTTGCTTAATCATCCCTGCCTTGCTGAATTCCCCCTATCTTGCTGAATCCCCTCTACCTTGCTAAATTCTCCCAATATTGCTGAATCCCCCCTACCGTGCTTAAGAACCCCTGCCTTGCAAAATCCCCCCCTCCTTGCTTAATCAACCCTACCTTGCTGAATCCCCCCTTCCTTGTTGAATCAATCCTACCTTGCTGAATCCCCCCTACCTTGCTGAATCCCCCCCACCTTGATTAATCACCACTACCGTGCTGAATTCCCACCCCCTTGCTGAATTCCCTCTTCCTTGCTTAATCACCCCTACCAAGATTAATCACTTGCTTAGTCACGGCTACATTGCTGAATCCCTCCTAAATTGCTCAATCCCGCCTACCTTGTTGAACCCCCCCTTCCTTGCTGAATCATCCCTACCTTGCTTGATCATCCCTAAATTGCTCGATTCCCCCTATCTCGTTGAATCTCCCCTATCTTGCTGAGTTCTCTTTATCTTGCTGAATCCCCTCTCCCATTCTAAATCACCCCTACCTTTTTAAGTCATCCCTGCCTTGCTGAATTCCCTCTATGCTTCTTAATCAATCCTACCTTGCTTACTCACCCCTACCTTGCTTTTTTCGACTTCCTTGCTGAATTCCCCCTACCTTGTTCAATCACTCCTACCTTGCCTGATGACCCCTACCTTGACTAATCATCCCTACATTGATTAATTACCTGAAAATGAGAGATTTCCCTATATCCTGCTGAATCACCCCTACCATGCTTAATCACCACTACCTTGGTCATTCCCCCTTCCTTGCTTAATCACACGTACCTTGCACAATCACCGCTTCCCTTACATATCACCCCTTCCTCGCATAATAAACCCTACCTTTTTTAATCCCCCCTTCCTTGTCGAATCAACCCAACCTTGCTGAATTCCCTCTTCCTTGCTTAATCACCCCTACCTTGATCAATCACCCCTACCTTGCTGAATCACTGATACATTGCTTGATCCCCCCTACCTTGCTGAATTTCGCCTTACTTGCTGAGCCGCCCCTTCCTTGCTTAATCACCCCTACCATGCTGAATATATACTTCCTTGCTGAATTCCCCCTACCTTGTTAAAACACTCCTACCTTGTTTAATCACCCCTACCTTGCAGAGTGCTCACTACATTGTTTAATCACCTCTACCTTGCTTCAGCACCCCTACCTTCTTGAATCACCTCTATTTTGCTGAATCACCTCTGCCTTGCATAACCACCCCTACCCTTAGTAATCACCCCTTCCTTGCCTAATCACCCTTAAATTGTTGAATTCCTCCTATCTTGCTGAAGTCACCCTATGTTGCTGAATCACCCCTAGCTTGCTTAATCACACCTACCTTGCTTAATCACCCTTGCCTTGCTGAATTTCCACAACCTTGTTCGCACACTCTTACCTTGCTTAATCACCCCTACCTTGCTGAATCCCGCCTACCTTGCTGAATCCCGCCTACCTTGCTGGAACCCCCCTTTCCTTGATGAATTGCCCCACCTTGCTTAATCAACCCTACCCTGCTGAATTCCTACTACCTTGCTGAATTCCACCTACCTTACCTAATCACCCCTACCTTGCTTAATCACCCCTACCTTGATGAATCCCCCCTTCCTTGTTGAATCGCCCCTACCTTGCTGAATCCCTTCTTCCTTGCTGAATTCTCCCAATCTTGCTGAATACCCACTCCCTTTCTGAGTCATCCCTATCTTTATTAATCATCCCTACCTTGCTAAATTCCCACTGATCAACCCTACCTTGCAGAATTCCCCCTTCCTTGGTTAATCACCCCTGCCTTGCTCAATCACCCCTACCTTGCTTAATCAACCCAACCTTGCTAAAGCCCCCCTTCCTGGTCGAAAAGGGCACCGGTCAAAAAGGGCACCGGTCGAAAAGCGCACCGGTCGAAAAAGCGCACCTGTCGAAAAGCGCACCGGTCGAAAAGCGCACCGGTCGAAATGGGCACCGGTCGAAAAGCGCTCCGGTCGAAAAGCGCACCGGTCGAAAAGGGCACGGTCAAAAAGCGCACCGGTCGAAACGCGCACCGGTCGAAAAGCGCACCGGTCGAAAAGTGCAACGGTCGAAAAGCGCACCGGTTATGAAGCGCACTGGTCGAAAAGCGCACCGGTCGAAAAGCGCACCGGTCGAAAAAGAGCACTGGTTGGGAAATTGCACTGGTCGAAAAGGGCACCGGTCGAAAAGCGCACCGGTCGAAAAGGGCACCGGTCGAAAAGGGCACCGGTCGAAAAGCGCACCGGTCGAAAAGGGCACCGGTCGAAAAGGGCACCGGTCGAAAAGCGCGCCGGTCGAAAAGCGCACCGGTCGAAAAGCGCACCGGTCGAAAAGGCCACCGGTCGAAAAGTGCACCGGTCGAAATGCGCACCGATGGTGGGAGTTTAGACCGGATGGTGGTGGGAGTATAGATGGGTGGTGGTGGGAGTATAGACCGTGTGGTGGTGGGATTTTAGACCAGGTGGTGGTGGGAATTTGGCCAAGGTGTAGAAGGAGTTGAGACTGAGTCGTGCTAGGAGTTTAGACAGGGTGGTCGTGGTAGTTCTTTCCCGTTGGTTGTGGGAGTTTAGACCGGGTGTTGGTGGGAGTTTAGATTGTGTGGTGGTGGGAGTTTAAACCATGTGTTCGTGGTAGTTTAGACAGGCTGGTTGTGTGAATTTAGACTGATTGGTGGTGGGAGTTGAGACTTGGTGGTGATGGGAGTTTAGACCGGATGGTGGTGCAAGTTTAGACCGGGTGGTGGTGGGAGTTTAGACTGGATAGTGGTGGGAGTCTAGACCGGATGGTGGTGGGAGTTTAGACCGGGTGGTGGTGGGAGTTTAGACCTGTTGGTGATGAGAGTTTAGACCGAATGGTGTTGGGAGTTTAGAACGATTGGTGGTGGTGGGAGTTAAGACCGGATGATGGTGGGTTTTTTGATTGGGTGCTGGTGGGAGTTTAGACCGGGTGGTGGTGGTAGTTTAGACTGGGTGGTGGTGGGAGTTTAGACCAATTGGTAGAGGGAGTTTAGACCGGGTGGTGGTTGGAGTTTAGACCGGGTGGTGAGGGAGTTTAGACCGGGTGGTGGTGGGAGTTTAGACCGAATGGTGGTGGGAGTTTATACCGGTTGGTGGTGGGAGTTTAGACCGGATGATGGTGGGAGTTTGGATCGGGTGCTGGTGGGAGTTTAGACCGGGTGGTGGTGGGAGTTTAGACCAGTTGGTGGAGGGAGTTTAGACCGGGTGGTGGTTGGATTTTAGATTGGGTGGTGAGGGAGTTTAGACCGGGTGGTGGTGGGAGCTTAGACCGGGTGGTGGAGGGAGCTTAGACCGGGTGGTGCTGGGAGCTTAGACGGGATGATGGTGGGAGCTGGGATCGGGTGCTGGTGGGAGTTTGGACGGGGTGGTGGTGGGAGTTTAGACCGCGTGGTGGTGGTCATTTAGACTGGTTGGTGGTGGGGTTTAGACCGGGTGGTGGTGGAAGTTTAGAGCGGTTGGTGGTGGGAGTTTAGACCGGGTGGTGGTGGGAGTTTAGACCGGTTGGTGGTGGGAGTTTAGACCGGGTGGTGGTGGGAGTTTAGACCTTTTGGTGGTTGGAACTCAGACCGGGTGTGGTGGGAGTTTAGACCGGTTGGTGGTGGAGTTTAGACCGGTTGGTTGTGGGAGTTTAGACCGGATGATGGTGGGAGTTTGGATCGGGTGCTGGTGGGAGTTTAGACCGGGTGGTGGTGGGATTTTAGACCAGTTGGTGGAGGGAGTTTAGACTGGGTGGTGGGTTGGATTTTAGATTGGGTGGTGAGGGAGTTTAGACCGGGTGGTGGTGGGAGCTTAGACCGGGTGGTGGAGGGAGCTTAGACCGGGTGGTGCTGGGAGCTTAGACCGGATGATGGTGGGAGCTTGGATCGGTTGCTGGTGGGAGTTTGGACCGGGTGGTGGTGGGAGTTTAGACCGCGTGGTGGTGGTCATTTAGACTGGTTGGTGGTGGGGGTTTAGACCGGGTGGTGGTGGAAGTTTAGACCGGTTGGTGGTGGGAGTTTAGACCGGGTGGTGGGAGTTTAGACCTTTTGGTGGTGGGAACTCAGACCGGGTGGTGGTGCGAGTTTAGACTGGGTGGTAGTGGGAGTTTTGACCGGTTGGTGGAGGGAGTTTAGACCGAGTGGTTGATGGAGCTTAGACCTGGTTGTGGGGGAGTTTAGACGAGGGGTGGTGGGAGTTTAGACCTGGTGGTTGTGGGAGATAAGACCGGGTTGGTGGTGGGTGTTGAGACCGGATGATGTTGGGAATTTGGATCGGGTGCTGGTGAGCGTTTAGACTGGGTGGTGGTGGGAGTTTAGACCGGGTGGTGGTGGGAGTTTAGACCGGGTGCTGGTGGGAGTTTAGGCCGGGTGGTGGTGGGAGTTCAAACCGGGTGGTGGTGGGATTTTAGACCAGGTGGTGGTGGGAATTTAGGCCGGGTGGTTGTAGTAGATGAGACCGAGTCGTGCTGGGAGTTTAGACTGGATGTTGGTGGCAGTTTAGACCAGTTTTTGGAGGGAGTTTAGACCAGGTTGTGAGGGAGTTTAGACCGGGTGGTGGTGGGAGTTTAGACCGGGTGGTGGAGTGACTTTAGACCAGGTGGTAGTGGGAATTTAGACCGTGTCGTGGTGGGTGTTTAGACCGGTTGGTGGTGGGAATTTAGTCTGGGTGGTGGTAGAAGTTTAGACCGGGTGGTGGTAGTAGATAAGAGCGGATGGTGGTGGGAGTATAGACCAGGTGGTGGTGGGAGTTTAGACCGATGGTGGTGGGAGTGTAGACTGGGTGGTGGTGGGAGTATAGACAAGAGGTGGTCAGATTCAAGACCGAGTGGTGGTGGGATTTTAGACCCGGTGGTGGTGGGTTTTTTATTGGGTGGTGTGGGAGTTTAGACTGGTGGTGGTGGGAGTTTAGACTGGATGGTGGTGGGAGTTCATACCGTGTGGTCGTGGGTGTTTAGACGGGCTGTTGTGGGAGTTAGACTATGTGTGGTGGAGTTTAGACGTGGTGGTGGGAGTTTTGACCTGGTATTGGTGGGAGTTTTTTTTGGATGGTGAAAGGAGCTAAATTGGGTGGCTGCTATACCTCCTGCCAGTCAAACCACCATAGCGTCGTCAAATCTTCATGGAAGTTCATGATTAACCTTGCTGCAGACAGACGACAGCAACGCACCCGAGATCACCGTTTCAGCTAGCGAGCAGATCGTTATCAATATTTGAAGCCGTCTGACGGAAATCCGACTGTGCTCTCAATCTCATTTTAGGCACATTTGAGCCTATTGTGATTATAACAAGTGGTATCAGAGCCCCTTGGAGCCGTCTCGACCATGCCTAGACCTGAGGAAGGGGGTGGCAGAGGTGCTGGAGGCAGAGAAGACGCCCAAGCACAAGGTCAACACCAAGATCCACCCGTTGCTCCGGTGCAACCTAGCCTTGGACCCTCTAGGGATGAGCCTAGAGTGTTTGGCCTTGACAAGTTCAACGGTGACAACTATGCTGTGTGGTCCTTCAAGATGGAGAACATCTTTGACCACTATGATCTGCTGGAGGTGATGGAAGGAACGGAGAACCGCCCCGAGAACGACCCGGAGAAGAGCCCGTGGGTGCGGAAGTGCGCACAAGGCTACCTTCTACTTGGGCAAGCGTTGGGGAGCAGCCAAATCCGTCACATCAGTCATTTTCAGCGTGAACCAGCAAAGGGACCAAAGGCATGGGCTGCTCTCAAGGGTGTACACGCTCCTGCAACAGCGGCGGTGGCTGTGGTTTTGGAGCGGCAAATGGCGGCACTTCGAATTGACGAAGGCGAACCGGTGGAGGAAGGAGTGTAGAAATTCCTAATTTTTTCATGCGTGGTTAGTGTATGGGCTCAAGAGCATGCTGGCCTGTGCTCGGATGCAAAACCCAGGTGTGTGGGAAGTTATGGTATCTCAA